CCGATGTTGCCAAATAGTGAAATAGAAGTGAATCCCTTTAAATGTTCAATGCATTATTTTATTCCTCTTTTTTAAGTATTTAAATAATTTTTTAAAGAAAAAGGATGAAATGATAATGTTTTGTTATTTATTTATATAGAGGAAGATAGGTTAGGTGCACAAAATGTCATATGTCACAGAATGTCTCGGAAATTGGAATATAAGTAAACAGAACAGTACGCGTCTGAAATATAGCATCTTTGTTTGTATCATACAGATAACAGATTCATTGTCCTTTATTAGCTATAACCGATGTTGCCAAATGGTGAAAGCATTATTTAATTACTCTTTTTTAAGTATTTAAATCATTTTTTGAGGAAAAAGGTTGAAATGACAAGTTTAAAATGCGTTGTTTTAGAGCTCTTTTATGAAAAATACTTGATTTTCGTCAGGAGGAACATTTCCCATTCTTACTGACACTCAAGCGAGAATAGGGGTGGTATAAAGTATCTTCACCCCGAGTAGCGCAATTATGTATATCCGAGTTTTTTGCTATTATCATAGCTGTAATATGTAGAGGCACGGCAATGGTAAGATTTTAAATTTTTTAAATAGTGGTTTACAATAGTCCAGTGGACGAGACTTGTTCATACAGCGAATTACTCTTTTCTAAACCTTAAAAATGCGGTCAGTATATACAGAGTTACCCCAGAAGATCAATCCAAACTGTAGCCTTGATTGTACCAGTCCCTGATACATGAGTTTAATAACTTGTATAGAGACAGTGTCTCGCAGATTCAGAACTGCGTAGTTTGCACTGCCAACCTTTACACATAAACCGTCAATATGTGCCTTCATGTTAGCTTTTAATCCAGGAGTATTCCTAAAAATCTAGCAGTGTTAATGAACGTCCTATTCGACCTTGGTTTGAGAAATTTCTTCCTGGAGATTTTAGCATCGAAGATGAGCCCCGAAGTGGTCGACCTGCAGTAATCCAGGAAGAGGATTTGAGGATGCTGGTGGAGATTGACTCATCACAAACGGTGAGTGAAATGGCGGAAAACTGGACGTTCGCTCTCGTGCAGTGGTTGGACACCGATTTTGCCTTCCCAAAATCGACGAAATGTACAAAAAATTGGCCAGTGCCAAGAGAAGAGGTCCGCTCCTACTCCACGACAACGTCCGTCCGCACGTTTCACAAATCATCTTCGGAAAAATAAACAAATTGAGCGTCGAAGTTCTGGTTCATTCATCCACCATATTTCCCAGACCTCTGGCCAACGGACTACCACTTGCACTTTGATAACTTTCTCACCGGTATAACTTTCACCAATCGACTTCATAGAATCCCGAGCACTGAAATAATCGACTTGCGTTACGTTGGCAAAAGTGAACTGATTTAAATGGAGCTTATTTCGATTGAATTGAATAAGTATTCACCGAGATATTACAGTTTTAAGAAGACTAATAAAAACGGGCAAAACTTTTGAAACAATCTAATAGAATTATTCTAGTTCCATCATAGAAAGGCAATGGACATGAATAAATTGTTATCACCCAAAAACATTACCTGCATCCTGCAATTCCAAAATGTGATCCAAATAATCAAACATTTCAACTGTCATCTCAAAACTGAAAAATTAAAAATGTTGATTTAGTGAACATTTGGAAATAAACATAATTGAATAGTAAAAAAACTGTATCAGCTAAATACAGAACAGCACCTTCTATAGTTCCCTAGATATCTTTATCTCTCTCTCTCTCTCTTTTATATTGACAATTACAAAGATCACACTAGGTCACTTCATTTTTAAACAGATCCTGTACCAAACAAGGAAGCATACACACATAAAAAACAGTAATGCTAAAGAATTCCAGTAAAACAATGACAAAGACAGGAACACATAACTAACTCTTTGTTTTTAAAAAAATCTGTGTGTTATTTATAAGATATACTCATCAAAAAAACAAAATCACATCATCATTATTATCCTGCAAAATTCCTATATGTCAATATTTTGTCTGAATTTTCAAATTTTTTCTATATACTTTCTAATGAATTTACCGATATTACTGTTCCTTCAATTTTTTCATTAAGTGTATGCATGCAACCGTCATATCAATTTCCTGAATATTGGCTTAACAAAAATTCAAATTTCAGATGGTCTATCTCAATATTTTTTTACATATCAATTCATTTAATATAAGATATCTATCATATCACCTCTAACGGGAGCAAGAAACTCTTTGGAAGGTTCGAAATAGATGAACATTTCAACCTAGCAGACCACTATTATAATATTCATGCAGTCATTGTTCACTGTGGTTCTGGCGTTGAATTTGGTCATTATTACGCCTTGGTCAAAGACGAAACNTTCTTTTTGTCTAGCATGAAATCTTATCAAACGTGTTTTTTGATTATTCAAATGTAGGGAATTTTCCTTGAACCAGGTGTTTAATTTTTGCAGGATTAAGTTACCTTTGGTTTGTAGATTTTGATCTATTTTATCTGATATAACCAATGATGTGCCATCTGCATATAGTGTAAAATGAGCATATGTAGAGATGGATTCCATATTATTTACATATAATAAAAAAGTATAGGGCCCAACACTGATCCCTGTGGGACACCTACATTAATATCCACATAATTGGATGTATAACTTTCTCACATTATTATTATCATCATTGATGATACTGACATATTGCTTCCGTGTTGAGACAAACGTTTTCAGCCAGTTATAAATTGAAGAAGCAGATGAAAGAAGGAAATAACCCTCAATAACCCTCAAAACTATGTATAAACATTTTTCACTTCCAAACGGCATCCCGATTCATTTGGCAGGTACAATTTTTCAGTAAACGTTGTGAAATTTCCTACAATAATCAACAAACTTGATGAATTTGGTTCCTTTTCCAACTGATCAAAAAACATAACTCAAATGAAACGAAAAAAGTCAAGTTCATTTCAAATTGCAAAAACATTCAAAAACCTCAGAACAGGAGATATTGAATGTGTGAAGATGTTGAATTGCAATTAAAAAAAGTTTAGGTAACAAAGTACTTTGCTTTGACAAGAAAGTTACTTGAAAGGCACTTCAATAATCTCATTCACTAATTCATCGTCATCATTATCTACATTTTCTGTAGTTGGCCAAGTGACTACTCCTCTGTAATAATCACTTTTCACTACACAGATGCAGGGTATGATTTTCTAGACATTTTGATTTTTTTTTTTAGTTAATTGCCAATTTCTCTGAACATGCAATACCTGAAAGTAAGTTCAGTTCAGCTGATGATGAACTACTTGAGTTATGAAACAGACCACCAGTCCTTACAGTTCAAGATCTGTACTGAACTTACTTTGGGCACTGTAAATTCATCTCTGAAGGCTGTATCGGGAAGAGATACAAATATAAAGACATCTCTCCCAACTACCTACACCATAGTTTCTGGTAAATGCCCGCCGGAAAACAACTATTTTCCAGGCTAATACCACGCAGGATATTGAATTACATTCGGTTACCCTCGCAGATGTTACTCGTTCATCCAGCAGCAGCATGCTGAACTTATTCGAATAGACCACCTACAGACCGAGCCAGAGGTATTACCTCCTATCAGTGCAGGAAAGATCCAACCCAAACAGCAAAGTGCCTGGGATTCGATTAATTTCAACGCGGCTCAACTGCACGTATGAAAGAGAGAAAGACGACTAGACACGCCTGAAGACGCTATTCTATAGCGAAACACGTGTTGTGTTTTTGTAAAACTGTTTGGTGAAAATCTTACAGTGAAGTGTTTCTTGAATAGATTCTGGATCTTCATCAAATATCGGCCGATTCTTTCATACCTGATTACCAAAAAACTGTTTTTCTAATAAATTTTGATTTCAGCAAATGAGTGCAATAATTAACTGTGATGAACTGTCCTTAAAAATTAAAAAAAAAAACACAAAATATTACATGAACATTCGAGAGTCACGAAATTTTGTGGTTGTTTGGTCCCACATAACTTCATGGATGTTAGAAAAATGACTCGTATTGCTCACAAAAATGATATGCGAAAGTGAACCCATTACAACACATTTTGTTGACATATATACAAAGTGAACTAAAGTAGAAAATATAGACATTCAGATAGATGAAAAACTCTGAAAAGATGTCAAACACATTCAATGAAAGTCTTTTTTTGTGGAGGAAAAATCAGTTTTTTTTATAAAATCAGACGGTGAACATCGGGAGGAATGGAATAGGACAAGAATGATTACCGATGAGCCTCATTCTAAGAGACGTAAGCTAAAAGAATCAGCGTATATTCTCATATCTGGAGAGAATTGTATCTCGAATAGCTCCTTAGAAATAGACCGTACTTGGCTACCCATCTTGAATCGGGGTGTTCCATTTAAAAAAATATAATTGCTAGGACTTTTTGATGGAAGTGGCAACGCCGCAATGCTGAAAATATTTTAGATCGATAGAACAGGAAAGGAAATGTGAGGTGAAATTTTCAGAAAAATTATGCTTTGCGTTTTCCAGAAACGTCTAACCTACCATCGACCGTGAGTCACGCTGTATATGGTTGTGAATTATCCCCTGAAACAAAATAACGCCGGCCGCCGCTGGTCCACGTCAATCTATTGTGACTCGACCAAGGTCGCGCTCAACTCGACTTGCGATTCTCGATCGTTCTAAATGTCGCATCGCTTCGAGAGACTTCCATATCGGCTTCCAGAGGCTTCCATTACGATATATAAACACTAGCAACAGGCAGATGGGGAAATCCAGTTGAAAATGCGATACTGAGTGAGACAGACATTCGAGATTAGTCTGAAGTTCGGTTGAAGCTTTGTGTTATACTGGCAGTGAAGTAGTAAAATAAAGTAGAGTTTAATGGTGAAGTCTAGTCAATTATTGTCTAACCCACGGGGAAAACGTAAAAATATTTTCATATATTTTTGTAGATTGATTTTTTTGAATAAGTCGTTTACTTATTATTACACAATGGCTTAATAAAAGATGTAATTACTGGGGGGAACATATAAGAACATTATAAAAAATAGAAGAAAGATACTTACTTTCTCCAAACATAATATCAGGACTTGTATTACAGGTAGCTCGTCCTTGAAGAATATAGGTTGCAAGTTTGTGAGATAACTGATTTGCAATACTTATAGAAGATGCATAGTCTGTATCACCAATATTCAAAGTAGCTTCCATCAACTCCTGACAAGCTGCAGTCAAACTTCTCAAATAATCTGGACTGCATGTGAGAGCGGTCAGAGCTGGGTTGTCAACTTCATGTATAGCATTTTTCATTATCTCTTCAGATGATTCGATTGATTTTCTAACAACTTCACGCAATATCTTTTCAGCTTCTGTTCGTTCTTGAAATGAAAATGACAATAACTATTTACTTGTGAAGAATACTTCAAAACTAAACTGTCAGAAATTACCACTATCCAGTGGATTTCAATAGAAGTAGGCAAATCCTTTTCAAACTCTATTTCATTGGCATATGGTTTAATAAACATTTTCGTTTTTTCTCGAGGAAATTGCAAAGAATACTTATGATATTTTCTATATGTTTTTAAGAGCAATAGCATTTCAATATCCTGAACTAAATCATGAAAAACAGTTTGTTAAAACAACACCGTAATCATGCCCCAGCCACCGTATTCACCAGATTTGGTCCCCTTTGACTTTTCTCTGTTCCAAGAATGAAGAGACCCACGAAAGAACGGCGTTTTGCCACGATTGTAAAGATAATTAAATTGAAATTGAAGAATAAATATTTTTTAACAAAAATAAAAATTCATCTCTTTTTTAGAACAGACCTTATATTTTTAGACATAATGACACAGTTGTGAGATCAGAGAACTGTTTTTGAGTAATGAATAAGTGAAAGTAATCTTCCGAAGGCGTCAATTTGGTTGGTGAACTCGCGTCGAGAAGAGTGTTCCATTTCTGGTGTTTGGGAACAGTGTTTATTTTATATTTACTTCACGCCAGAGTATCAGTTCTCCCTTTCACTTCAGTATTTAATGTTGGTGCCAGGGTAATTACCCCCATTCCCTCCACCCATAAATTTGGTCTTTATTTTAATATCCTGAACTAAATCATGAAAAACAGTTTGGTAAAACAACACCGTAATCATGCCCCAGCCAGCGTATTTACCAGATTTGGTCCCCTTTGACTTTTCTCTGTTCCAAGAATGAAGATACCCACGAAAGAACGGCGTTTTTCCACGATTGAAAAGATAATAAAATTGAAATTAATGAATAAATATTTTTTGACAAAAATAAAAAATTAACTCATTTTTTGAACAGACCTTTTATTTTTAAGCATAATGACACAGTTGTGAGAACAGAGAACTGTTTTTGAGTTATGAATAAGTGAACGTCATCTCCCGAAGGCGTCAATTTGGTTGATGAACTCGCATCGAGAAGAGTGTTCCATTTCTGGTGTTTGGGAACACTGTTTATTTTCAATTTATTTCACGCCAGAGTATCAGTTCTCCCTTTCACTTCAGTATTTAATGTTGGTGCCAGGGTAATTACCCCCATTCCCTCCACCCATAAATTTGGTCTTGTTTACATGCTTTACGGCTTCAAGCTCAAAATATTTTGTTCACATATTCGTTATTGAAAAAGTTGATGAAACTAGACATTTCAATAAAGGTACTCTTCACTTATTTCTCTCAGCTCAGCAATTACTTCATCACAGTTGTGGAGTCTATACGAAGTCAATCCGAACAGCTAAATGAAAGACTGATGTACCAGTTTACATACATTTACTAGTTAATACCATAAAAAACCTCTCACATAAAAATTATTTAGAAAAAAAATTATAGCACGCCGACCATGCCATGCAAAGAAACTGCCGACGTTCGGTAACTATTTAGTTTTTATGCCATTCGAATCGACTTTGTATATATTATATATGGTTTTCCAAAGTAACAAACATTTTTGTAGTGTTGAAGAGCTTACCACACGAACATTGTTTTTCTAAATCCAATACTTTATGGTATAGTTCTTCTGACCTCTTTCTCATTTCTTCTTTTTCTTCACTTATCATTGCCAGTTTAGTTTTAACAATGTCTCTTTCCCTAGAAGCATCATTAACACTTTTTTTGAGAATCTGGAAAATTATTTGTATTTCATATCAGTTTGGAATTAGTCTACAATAATATTACTTCAGTTTCCATGTTGAACAGTTCTTTGTCTTTTTGTAAGGTAGAGAGCTCTTCGCTTCTTCGTTTTTCTTCTTCTTCCAATCTTTCTTTATCCTTTTCTAAATCATTCAGACGTTCTAAACTTTTCATGGCTCCAAACAACTTCTTCTCCACATCAGCTTTCTTGAAAAAAACTTGGTTTCAAACAGATTGATCTAGTTTTCTTCTTATGAAATTTACTAACCTCTCTAATTTTTTGAATGTGTTCATCGCGAAGTTTTACATAAAGATCTTTCAACTTGTCGAATTTTTCATTCTTGACTTTCTCTGTAACAGAAAATTATGCCTTGAGAAACTTACTAAAATACAATTACTCACACAAGATATGATCAAGACTAAACCATAATATTTGTTTGGTTTAACCTAATAACATAAAAGATACTAGCGCCTTTCCCATTTGTTCTTAAAACGCAATTGTAACCTATTGTAACTTCTATGTTGACGCAATGCAATCTTGATTCACAAATTATAAAACTACTTAATGAGTTTTAAAGTGTCTGAGAAAACTCACGTTCAGAATCCTGAGACTGGGCAACAGCAAAAGATTGATTCAGCAAGTCCTCTTTTATTTGGCGTTCCTGTAGAAGTTCACCATCTTTAGTTGCAAGATCAGTTTCTAGATGCATAATTTTATTGTGTAATTTTGAAACGTCTTCCTCATTCTTGGCCATTAGAGCATTCACTTCATGACTGAAATGCGAAAAGAATCGTTCAGACATAGCTACAAATATATTTTTTGACAGTTGCAGTCAAATCAAATTACACTTCAAAAATATTTCAAGAAAAATCTAGAATTCTATGGAAATTCGAATACACTAGTAATCTTAAACTATACTATATTTTATCTAAACTTTGGGATTAATCAGCCATATATTGCTTAGAAAAATGACCAGTGATATTTTCGGTTACGTACAGCGCCATCTGCCCGCGAATAGATCAAGCAATAATGTTGATATATCAAGGAGGTTCCGTACAGCGTCATCTGCCCGCGAATAGATCAAGAAATAATGTCGATAATTCTGTCAATTACAGATCCCGAGCTTGAGAGTTACAAGCAAACTGAAAAACAAATATATATACAGGTGAAGCTAATATAAAGCGTATAAAAAAGAACATTAAAAAGTTTACGATGTCAAACAATACAATAAGGATGCTGTGTTGAAGAAAACTTAATAATAATAAATGTTTTCATTGATATACTACAAATAAATATATAGGTTGTTTCAAAAGTTTGGTCCATTTTAATGTTATGCGTTTTTGTAGCTCCACATCTCAATGAATATTTATTCTACTGTGTCGTGGTATATACTGATCGATAGAGAATTTTGTACTCTACACATTGATGCTGCTCATTTTTTCCAAATTTTATTTTTTTGTCTCTGTCAGTAAGCGATTTTCGGCCAATTGTTCGCTAGGAATTAAAATTGAAACAAAGCGCTGCCGAAACAGAACGAAAAATTAACCAGGCATTTGGCAATGATAGAGTTAATGAATGCAGTGTTCAACGTTGGTTTCTGAAATTTCTTTCTGGAGATTTCGGCATTGAAGATGAGCCATGAAATGTGTTACGTAATTTTTTTTTTCTGCTTACTTATTCAATCATTAATTCATATATGGGGTATTTTAGATATAAACGGGATAGGGTTATTTACTCCCAACTAGCTTTTAGACAGCATGAAGGGGGGGGGGCTGAGTTATAGAAATTATTTATGTTCCAAGGGTGCCAAAAGATTTACTATTAACCCTATATAACGTAATAGTAAGCAGATCCAAATCTATAAATTATCCACTCAAAATTAAATTAAAACTCAAAATTTGGCAAATGGATAGATATATTGACATATTTCTACACAGGGTTTGACAATGTGCAAGGAAAACCGTAACTAATAAATAATAGCCAACCACTCGGAGGGGGGGGGGGTCGTGCACGACAGAGAAAAACTTGACAGGGTGTTTAGGAAAAAGAAAACTACCCCTTCAATCTCCTGCACAACGAGGGGGAAAACTTATTCTCTAGTTAGAAATTCATGAAGATAAATTTGACCAGAAGACATGATATTGGTAATGTGAAGGTATTGGTATAAAAAATATATATTTAATTTTCACTCAAAAGGAAAGTTCTTAATGCCGCTATGCGGTACTTAGCCTCGATTTCAAAGGGGCAGCTGTAATACGGCACTATTGCGCTACTCCATCAAGGAAGAGGATGAAAACCTATGTGACATTTCCTCATTTCCTTGTCCCCAAATGACTGTTCGTATAATAATATCGGGTTTTTCTGGGTGGTACACAAGTTATTAAAAAAAAAACACCTGAAATTAAACTATTGTTGGATTCCTCATATTATGGGATATATTGTAGTCCTGTGATGACACAAGGATTAATACTTGAAAACTCACCTCCAATTATATCGAACCCTAATAATTCGAAGACGTTTTCATATACAGTTGGAAAAAAACTGATATAAATATCCTCCGAAGAGATAAGAAAACAGAATTCTCAACCTTCCAAATCAGCACCATTACGAATATGTTTCTGTGAACATATGAATTACAACCGCTCATAGCGTTTTACGAAAATTCCTAAGTTAAATTCACAGTTCGAGTATCATTGTCAATTTCCAACTCAAAATGATTAGAATACCTTGGCCAAGGACCAAGAAGGTTTCTAATTTTTTCGTTAGACCTCGATATGAGCTATAGTAGTTGGGTAAACGACAATAAATAGGTACCTTTTATGGATAACGTAACAAGTGGTCGACCTATAGTAATCCAGGACAAGGATTTAAGGACTCTGGTGGAAACTGACACATCACAAATGTGTCTGGGATGGCTGAAGAAGTGGGCGTTTTTGATGATTTAAAACGTATTGGAAAGGTCAGAAAGTTCGAAAAATGAGTGTCCCACGATTTGAACGATCAACAGAAATTGCCACGTTTTGAGGTCTGCTCTTCTTTGCTTTTGAGCAACCAACCTTTATTTGAATTGGATCGTCACGTGTGACGGAAAGTGGATCCTCTACTACAACAGAAGACGTTCAGGACGGTGGTTGGACATCAATGAGCCAACCATGCGCTTTCCAAAGGCGAAAACCCACAAAAAAAGTGGCTGGTGTAATTTACTATAACTTTCTGCAAGCAAGCCAAAACATCACAGTAGAATACTATAATTTTTTTTTAAGAACTTCATTCAGATAATGCAATCATGGTTACAATAAACATTTTAAATAGTAATTGAGATAGTCCCCAAACGGACATCAAAATCTCGTTCTTTTAATGTGTTATCAAATTTTGTCCTATCAAGACCCCCCTCGTTCTTTTAATATGTTATCAAATTTTGGATTGTGAAGAGAAAAAAACACTGCCCGCGGTAGAATGATTTTAGATTTTACCTGCTTCATCTATGAGTTGACTGCAGTCCTTCGCTATGGCAACAACCGTTCCAGTAGCAGTAGTAACTTCTCTCGATGCTTGTGTTAATTGTTGTAAATTTTCACTATTCCTATCTGCTTTTACTCTACTTGCTACTACCAACTGAGCAGTGGAAGCAGCTATTTCTTGAGCAGCTACAATCAGCTGCTCCAATTTTCCATTGGAAATAACAACTTTATCAGCAGCCGTTCTAAAAAACATCATGAATGAATTCACCTTCATGAATTACAATATCTCATGTAGAAGACAATTTTTATGTTCATGACTCGACTTTCCAAATTAATTTGAATGGAATAGATTTTATAAACTTAAGTCATTAGTTTGTTACTGAAACAATTCCACTATTATTAATTAGAAAGATAAAAATATCGAATTGTTTCATTATCCTTGTAAATAATACATTTTTTAAACTTATTTTGCTTCATAAAATCATCACTTTTTTTTGCAAACTATTTTAATCTTGTTCGCACCAACTTCATTACTTATCATCAACTAATTATGCTTTTCAAACAAATACCTTTAGCTGCTAGCCATGTTGAGCCACGCACAGTTTGCATGCTATCGATTAATCGAACTTTTCAATCAAATAAAGATGATAATAATGTTTACTTATAATTCAAATGCAACTTACAGTAAGTTACAAAATTTAAACAATTCCAAACTTTTTTCAGCGATTTTTCTTTCTTCTCTTAATTTTCAAATTTCATTTAACTTTTTTAGGCATTCTGAACATTCAAACATTCATTTTTTTATTCTTTGGTATTGGTGCTCAAAGTCAATGACTTATTTATCAACCATTCCTGCTATTACAGTTCACAATTCACAAAAACTTTAAATGTAATTGCCCTATATAGCAGGAATGAATACTTTCGTTACTACTGTTTAGAGATCTGATGATAAAAAAGAGTATGGTCATACGAGGTCTGTTCAAAAATTAGTCAAATTTTCATTTTTCTCAAAAAAAAATTATTCATCATTTTCTATTTTGTCAATTTTTTCTTTTTTGTCCCCTCAGATAAAATACACTTATGCCAACGTTTTTTCCAATCCTCAAAATAGTTTCGATATGAAATTTTTTGTATGTCCTTGAGCTCTCTTAGCGATTCGGTTTTTATTTCCTCAATCGTCGCAAAACTATGACCTTTCATGGGTATCTTCAATCTTGGGAACAAGAGAAAATCGCCAAATCTGGTGAATACGGTTGCTGAGACTTAATTACGTTGTTGAGCAGGTATGAGCAGGAGCATAAACGCGATGTAAAACCCATGAATTGTTTTTCCACTATACTGGACGTTTTCTTTGTATTGCTACTCGCAAGTGGCGAATAACATCAAGATAATACTCCTTATTGACCATGTGGCAAGAACTCCTGATGCACTACACCACGGTAATCTAAGAAAACAGTTGGCAAAACCTTGACGTGCTTTTATTGGTCTTGGCTCTACTGAGCTCTATCATTGGCTTGAGTTCGGTTCAGAAGATGCTCGAAATGGTTGCCTTGAACTTCTTGACATATGAACAGCCTATCCAATATTTCACGCCGAACATTTTCGAACACAGTAACGTCAATATCTCTACAAATATTTATTATTCTCTGTCGTATATCCAATATTGAAACAGGTTCGGTTTCATACACTTTTTGCTTCAAATCTGTCTAGCTGGATGGCCATTCTGTAGAACCTCGACGGCCAATCCAACGATCGGAAAAGTAGTATCCAAATAGTTCTTTACTTATCTGGAGTAATGTGGTAATGATCCATCTTGTTGGAATACAATATCCATATCGAATTCATTAAGATTAGCTTCGACGATTTCAGTGATGAGAGATCAACAGTAGTTTCCAGCATATTCAAACACAGTTCCCCTGTTAAATTTTGATCAATAAATAGAGATCCTACAATATGGTTTCCCCATATTCCTGCCCAAACGTTAATTTTTTCTGGATATTGGGAACGTGAGGGTTGGTGTCACTCCAATAACGTCAATTTCCGTTTAAAAAAAATGTACATTCGTCACTAAAACAAATATTGTGGAGATAGGTAGGATGCCTTGCAATGGTTTCCGTCATGATTTCGCAGAATACTGTTCTTCAATCAGGGTCATCTTCAGTTAATTGGTGTACCATTTTAATTTTATTTGGATGATACCTATTCCTCTTCAAAAGTCTCTACACAGTAGAAAGAGACACCTCACAAACATTCGCGATGGAACAAGTAGACTGGTTCAGGATTTACTACCATCTCACCAATTATTTGCACTTGCTGTTCTTCCAGAATGGACACATGACCTAGGAGCTTTTTGTTATGAACACTACCGGTAGTTGTGAATTTGGATACAAGTTCCCTCTAATATTTTCTACAGATAGGATGATTCGGAAAACGTTCATTGAAAATCCTTTCGGTCTCGTGAAAGTTACGCGTCACACCGTAAATAAAAATTGTTTAAATTTTTTCTTCCAATGGACGAGAATTGACCATTTTAGAGATTGTTGACTTGGTACTTTTCTACTAGTAAAACCGAAAACTAAATGAGAATATTCTAACTGTACATTTCATTCTCCAACATGTCTGCCAAGTTCTCGGCATTTTCTCCTAGAAGGGAAGCATTGATACTATCTGCAAGTGATGCTACATCGTTTAGCTTATCTATGGCTTCCTTCACGAATAATTCATTATTTGTATTTTTCTTGATACAGTGTAGAAGTTTCATCCCACTCATTCCCAACAATTTACAAGTCTCGGCCATTTCTGAAATGTGAAATAAACTAAATCAATGCCAAAATGAGTAGAAACAGATAATCATTGATGATAAGATACTGAATCTATTTTGGAGAAATAGCAGTGTCGAATATAGCAGCACTACTCACGGTTCTGTGATGAAAGTTACAAGCTAGGTTTCTGTTTCAAGTCATGACAAGTCTGCTCAGTGACGAAGAGATCACGCGATATCCATCATCAATATTCTCTCAGTGTCATGCCTCATGGCCATTAATCTCTACTGGGTAGAAAGTTTACCCTGGTAGAGGAGGTAAATTTGAATCGTCAAATATAATATGGTAAGATGCCTTTTCTGCCTTCAAACCTTAGGTAGATGCCATCATTTCTTAATCATAGACCACGAGGGGAGTAGTATTTAGTTAACACTGACGAGGAGCATTGCAAAAATCCTAAATTCTACAAGATATGACAATCGAACCAAAACTCTCCCTTTTTTTACAACAGTTTCTCCTTACATAATTTTTCTAGTTTCACTTTGGAACAAAATTTAAGACCAATTATAATTACAGTTTCTTGAAATTATAGAAAATTAAATGTATTTCTAAACTTTGTTAACAAGAATTCTGCTCTTTGGACAATAAAGTTCTTTCTCTCTCTCTCTCCAAGAATCTGCGGAATTTCAAATGAAATGATTCTTCATGAAAATATTTTTTCAATTACTGTATTATTATTTTCTAAATTAGTTACTGCACACAATTTTTGGTACACCACATAATTGTCATAAAAATATCTTGTTGAAACTCTATTACTCCTCACATGAAAGATTAATGGAAGTGTCATTGTCAACGAAATGTACTATACAGGGTATAAATTAAGCGAGTGATATATCATGAAACATAAAGTTCATATAAGCATATGACCTAAATCGCTTGGTTTTTTTAATAACAAGATGTTAATGTTGTAAGCAGTATCGTATTAATTGTGAAAAAAGATATTCCTCCGATTATACCGAAGCTAAGTGCGTTTGAGAGTAGTGTTAAAGGGCTCCTTTCAATGTGATTATTGGCAATTTCAGAAGATTACATAACTGATATTTATGGAAAAAAATCATTATTTACTACCAGCTTTTTCAAAGTTGGATATGGATATTCAGAAGCAATTTTTGTTTTCTATTATCTAGATAATTTGCAAACCATTTTAATGCTTTACCCACAATACTGATACCTTTCATCTTTCGCATTAATATATTTCTATCCACCGTTTCAAAAGACCTCTGTAAATCAAGAAATATTGCACCTACTAGTTTATTTCCTTTCATACTTTTTTTCGAATCATCTAAAACACATTGAAATGCTGTTTCACAACTATGCTTGCTT